TATATAGTGTGTGTGTGTGTGTGTGTGTGTGTATGTGAACGAATACGAGTAAAAGTATTATAGCATTAACCTGAGATAATGGTGCAATGCTTACCATCTTGTGGGGTCCACGATCGGACGCGAAAGCCCGCTACGAGGGTGTGCTTTAACTGACAGATGTCCAAAGCTTGCGATATGGCAGTGTTTACGATGGTGTGTCCGTGTGTGAAGCAATGGTTGTGCGTGATATTCAGGACGCCATGGACGATTTCGTCTAGTTTCTCCTCAGCCCTTTCGACCGAATTCGATTCGGATTCTTTATTTGGAGTGTTTGTGGTGCATTTGGCTGTTTGTATCGTAAGTGCACACGCGGCTATGGGAGCGATATCTCTATTTCTGAAATTGTTCGCCTGTAGTGCCGAGTGTGGGCGTTTTTTTGCACACGCACCGGAAACAAACCCCCCTCGAGCTGCTAAGGTTCTTATTCGAGACGCAAACATATTCCGCGAAACTTGAGTTAGATATTGAAGTGCTAAATACGTCAACACTGTGGTCTCCGAATGTACGGCAACACAGTAACATACTTCCATGGCACCGCTATACGTACGTATTACGTAGCAATTGACACGCATCACTCACCAAGAGCCTTCAGAACTCAGGAGAGCCTGGGTCAGAATGCCCGGTGGGACAGTCACAGCAGGCTGGTTGCCTGGGGTCATCAGGAGTGTCATTCGGACTCAGGTGACACTTGACAGCAGTAAAACAGCCGCAATGACAGATACAGGCTACAGCCTATGCGCTACGCTGTACTACGTCTACAGTCTCCTATTAAAATACAGGACTACAGCCCACAGCCTCACAGCGGCACAGTCCAGTGAGCCTACAGAAGCACAGCAATGACAGCATACGAGTGATACGCCCTATGGAATATGTATCAGCAGTCCAGTACAGACCACAGAATCAGATGACAAAACTTCGAACCCAATCGAAAGCCCCGCGCAATGCGTTCTAACTTTTTTAAAATACTGGTTGTCGGCGGTCACAGTACCGCTGCTCACGGAGTCACACACTCGACAGGAACTCGACAGTCGGCACTCGGTTGAACGGTTCACTCTTGTGTTGTTGGCTGGTGAAATGGGGATAACTCTTGGTGCTGTAAATAATTAAATATACTAATGTGTTTTACAGCGGAAGAGTAGAATACTCAAGATTCTGGTTTTCTGATAATTGATTGGTTATTGGATATAGTTATCTCAGATCGGATTAGTGATGGAACATAAAACTGCTTCGACAAAAAGCCGAATGACTAAAATGTGGGGAGGTTTAGCCATGTTTGCACTGTTTGCAGTGCTTATTTTCATACGACATACCCATATGTACCGTTCCATCGGACATACATCCGGAGACTCCGTACCACTATTACCGGTAACCACGGGCACCAACTGGAAACGGAAAGGTGGGCAATAAAATTTCATTTTTATAAATTCAGTTCTACAAAAAAAAAATCTTGTTGTGCAGAATTCACTCAACAGCGGCTATGAATTTTTGTTACAATAAAACTATGGCATATATAAAATCATATTGGTTAGAAGCCGCATAGTAGTATAACCGAGCATCATATCACGTAGTCTATTAGTGTGAGTGGTAGTTCCGTTTATTAGTGAGGACGGCAACACATACCGTGTACCTGTAGCATAGTGAGGTGTATTTAGTTATTAGTTGCATCGCATCACCAGAACACACCACCAAAACGTTTGTAGACGACTGAGTCTCTGATGCGCTCTGACTTATAACAGGTCTGGTTGTTGTGGAACGGGCCTGCGCATTGTACGCATAGTTGCACTAGCATCGTTTGAGCTGGCCCACCGGTAGTTAATTACACAGATTGACACCAGCGGCGTCTGAACTAGCTATTCTACTTGTTCTTGCGATTAGTTCAAGGCTATAGTTCGCCACAATGCACCCCACTATGCGGTCTTATGCTGGGTGGTTAGGCGCATGGCTAATGGCTTATATGTGCATGAGTACATACGCAACATCCATACCGTTTCAAATAACGCCGCGAATAGTGGGAGGCAATCGGGTGACTGAGCGCATACCCTGGATGGTGTCAATGAACGACCCTGACTTTGAGGCAGGTGACCAACACTACTGCGGGGGTTTCATGTTGAACAGCGAATGGTTCATGACAGCTGCGCATTGTGTGGTATTATATCCTGATGTGGACACGTTCAATGTCTCTATTGGTATCTTAGATCGACGAGAGATCGATCAAGCGGATCCAGACAGCCAGGTACACTCCTCGAAAATACAACGGCATGTGTGCCATCCAGACTTTGATTCGAAGTACTACATTAACGACATCTGCCTTGTGCATTTAGCCGACCCGGTCAACATCTCCGCATTTGCTGTGTTAAACGACAACACAAGCTTTCCCGCAGTGGGTGCCTCCGTATGGTTTTCGGGGTGGGGGGTGGAGAATGAGCATGCGTATACGATACCGTTTGTACTACGCTCGGCGGAAACACAGGTAGTGTCGATTGCCGACTGTCTTGCGTCCCACGAAGAAGCCACCAGCACCAACTTGTGCACATATGCCGATGGCGTAGACGCCTGCTTCAGCGATTCTGGGGGTGGTGTAATCAGCGCGAATGAGGTGACTGGTTCACTGGCCCAAGGGATAGTCAGTGGCATAGTGTCATGGGGTGTGGGTTGTGCGAGACAGGACAATCCGGCTGTGAATACGGATATTGTGCAGTATCTGGGGTGGTTAGCAGAAGTGTTGCCCCGGTCTGCCTATACTTTGGCATCGGACGTAGACGCGGAGGGGTTTATCAGGTCGAATGTACTGGACACTGCGGAGAGTTTAACGGATTCTGAAACGTTGCCCACGAGAGCTGGGCAACAGACAGGCGGATGAAATGCTGCCCACTGACTGAACGGATCAAATAGACGCGACAAGACATTAGCACATTGCGAATCCTAATTCACGCTTGTTGGTGAGACAATGGATAGAGGTTCCAATGATTTAAGAATATCAAGTAAGAAACAACATACAACGGACAACAACAAAGGGGGGGGGTGGCAACTAAAATTATAGCGTTGAATTCAAGACCAACCGATACCACCGATACAGCCTGGCCATAGGAATAACGAACAATTCCAAAGAAGCACCAGGTATTAATAAATTGACTATATGTAAGCACACATGTTACAAACGAATCGAGATATTAGTTTGAAAAGTTAATAGTCGTATTAATCCGGATTCGTAATAGTTTGACAATTATAGTATTAAATGTAAGAATCAAAATCACACGTAACAAAATATATATATATATATTCATACACACGCATATATATATATTTTTATATATATCGGTAATATAAATATAAAAGTATACATATAAATATATAAACGTATGTATATATATATATATGTATATAAATTATATATATATATATGTATATAAATATACATATATATATATATATATATATATAATATTAATAATATATATAATTAATAATATATACATGCACA